TTTTTCTCATGTGTTCTGATTGGTGACGCCAGACTTGTCAAAAATACTCCAAACTAATAGGGAGGAGACATCGAGGTCAACATTATTTTAAAAACAAAAAAAAAAACAAATTTTGTAATAACCTCACTAATTTTGTCTTCAAATGGCTTAAAACCTGAATATTTTTTACTTTTAGATACCATTTTTCTCATGTGTCAGTAACCAACGTGACCCCAGACTTGTCAAAAATACCCCAGACCAATGGGAAGAGGTACCGAGGTCATTGAGATTTGAGCCAGAATGGGAAGTATAGGAAGTGACAGGCCTGTGGTATAGCAGAGACAGAAGTTGGAAAGGCTTTTGGTAAGTAGAGAGGTGGTAAACGTCATGGCCAGTCGGAGGACTTGAATTTGTTCGACATTGGCGTATCATAGAATCAAAATAATACCAAAAATTTTAAATTAATACCGGCGGAATCGGGCGAACGTATCTATTTATGGGCTACATATCATTATTTAAAATAATAATAATATCCCAAATCATAATTCTACCAAATTTCAACAATAATTTTTAATAATTTCTAATAATTTTTAATAATTTTTAATAATTTTTAATAATTTTTAATAATTTTTAATAATTTTTAATAATTTTTAATAATTTTTAATAATTTTTAATAATTTTTAATAATTTTTAATAATTTTTAATAATTTTTAATAATTTTTAATAATTTTTAATAATTTTTAATAATTTTTAATAATTTTTAATAATTTTTAATAATTTTTAATAATTTTTAATAATTTTTAATAATTTTTAATAATTTTTATTAATTTTTAATAATTTTTAATAATTTTTAATAATTTTTAATAATTTTTAATAATTTTTAATAATTTTTAATAATTTTTAATAATTTTTAATAATTTTTAATAATTTTTAATAATTTTTAATAATTTTTAATAATTTTTAATAATTTTTAATAATTTTTAATAATTTTTAATAATTTTTAATAATTTTTAATAATTTTTAATAATTTTTAATAATTTTTAATAATTTTTAATAATTTTTAATAATTTTTAATAATTTTTAATAATTTTTAATAATTTTTAATAATTTTCAATAATTTTTAATAATTTTTAATAATTTTTAATAATTTTTAATAATTTTTAATAATTTTTAATAATTTTTAATAATTTTTAATAATTTTTAATAATTTTTAATAATTTTTAATAATTTTTAATAATTTTTAAATAATTTTTAAATAATTTTTATAATTTTTAATAATTTTAATAGTTTTAAATAAATCCTATTAATTGTTAATTTTTTTTATTTATTTTAACAAATTTTTTTTTTTTATTTATTTTAACTAATTTTTTATTAATTTTTATATATTTTTAATTATTTATTTTTATTTATTTTTTCTTGGTTTTTTTTAATTTTTCCTCCTTAAAATGTGGAAATCCAGAAACCTTGAAGTATGTCATTATTTACTTATGAGTAGCTACAAATCGAATTTTCAAATTTCTACAATTAAAAACCGAAAGTATTATTCAAACTTTGACATTCAGTTTCCTCCCTTAATATGTAAAATCCAAATACTTTGAAACATGTCTATTTATTTATAAAGAGTACCTACAGTTCCAATTTTCAAGTTTCTATCATACAAACTTTCACTCCATACACATTTTCCCAATTTCCCCCATTTTCCTTCTTTCCCTAATTTTCCCTCTTACCCCCATTTTCCCACTTTCCCCCCTTAAAATGTGAAAAACCAAAAATCCTGAAACACGTCATTATTTATTTATGCTCAGTAGCAGTATTTCAAATTTTCATGTTTCACTACCACTATGCAAAAAATTATGTCCAATCCCTTGCTCTGTGAAAAACAAAAACAAATCGATCCCACGGGAACCGTACATTTTTTCTGGATAAAAATTAGCCTAGGTGCTATTCCAGGTTATAATCTATATTTGTGCCAAATTTCAACCATATCCGTTCTGTCATTCTTGCGTGATTGAGCAACATCCATTCATCCATCCATCCATCCGTCCGTCCGTCCATCCATCCATCCATCCATCCATCCATCCATCCATCCATCCATCCATCCATCCATCCATCCATCCATCCATCCATCCATCCATCCATCCATCCATCCATCCATCCATCCATGCATCCACCCACCCACCCACCCATCCATCCATCCATCCATCCATCCATCCATCCATCCATCCATCCATCCATCCATCCATCCATCCATCCATCCATCCATCCATCCATCCATCCATCCATCCATCCATCCATCCATCCATCCATCCATCCATCCATCCATCCATCCATCCATCCATCCATCCATCCATCCATCCATCCATCCATCCATCCATCCATCCATCCATCCATCCACCCATCCATCCATCCATCCATCCATCCATCCATCCATCCATCCATCCATCCATCCATCCATCCATCCAGCCACCCACCCACCCATCCATCCATGCATCCATCCAAACTTTCGTATTTACATATTTATAGGATTACCATAAAATAACTCTTTTACTTTTGATTTGAGCGTCTCCTAGCTTGATCAAAATCTGTTACGTTTGTAAAGTGTGACACTTCAATTGAAAGCTAATTTTATTACTAGTTCAATGCACCACATAACAAAAATATCTCTATATTGCACTTGCTACAGTGTGAAAATTAGTCATTGTTTGCATTATTGTTAACCTTATTTTGTTGCAAGGCCAATATGGAGATATTTAGATTAATGTTATGTGGTGCATTGAATTAATAATAAAATTAAGTGTACGTTAACAGTTATTTATCAAGCTAGAGGGCGCTAAAATCAAAAGTAACGCAATGAATAGTCTTATTATCGAATTCTCTATCAAATTACCTTTTCAGTGATGTGTCATATTTGGTATTTTCTCTATTTAAATTGTAAGGGTTGTTAACCGCATTGTTCGATGCTGCAACTAGCAAAAAAAATTGCCCCCCTCCAAACTAAAATCAACCGTACGAGAGCTTTTTGTTTCGTGTTCTTTTTCGTTTTTTTTTCGTATTTTTTCGATTTTTTCAATTTTTTCGTTTTATTTAGTTTATTTTTTCATTTTATTTAGTTTATTTCTTCGTTTTTATTTTGCATCTATACGAAAAACCTAAGTGGAAAGTTTTCGATGGCCCACCCTGTATATATTAACATTCCTTAGTTATAATTGGATAAAAACTAAATAAATTGAAATGTTTGGTATATTAGTTATATAAACCATTCATGAAACTGACCTTGTATAAATAAGTAGGCATACAAAAAATTTACACACCATTTAGATTCCGACAAATCAATTTATCGCTGCACCATAAACAATATAAGATTTGTTATAAACAATTCTAGTATACCGTAGTTGCAATTTATATTTATCTCAATGTGATAAAAGTTATTGTTGATGAATTATAAATTGTTTACATATGTTATAGACATAAAAGACGCCAATTTTATTATCAGAATTTTTGGACATGAATAGCTTTGTTCCAACACACACACAAACTGTTACGGTCATCGTCATGCGCAGTAAATAAAAACCGTTCGACTTTGGGCTTTATTGATAGGTTTTTATTTACTGCGCATGACGATGACCGTAATATTACGGTTTGTGTGTGTGTTGGAACAAAGCTAATAAAGGTAGGTGTAGGAAGGGTCCGATTACAATTAGAAGAACACAGCTACGTCATCATTTGGCAAAGTAATTAATTGGTTATCGCCGCCTACTGAAGGTTTAGTGGAGTGTTAATATTATAAAAATATAGAAAATATTGTTTTATACCTAACAAGTTACTTATTTTTTATTGACTGATAGTTATAGATAACATGTATTAGAAATTCGAAGTGATGGTTATGACGTAGCGATCTTCTTCTTAGGGTCTTAGGGTCCGATTACAATAAGAAGAACACAGCTACGTCATCAATTGGCGGAGTAATACGTAGGATATCGCCGTCAAACACCTCATATATTCTTTGTTTATTGATAGTTATAGATGATATATTTTAAATTCGAAATAATAGTTATGACGTAGCGGTGTTCTTATTCTATCATGCGATAACACGCACTACTGGGGGGCTATTTTCAAAGTATGGGAGCACTCATTTCTCTCAAGATTCTCATCAGAAATGTCATACGTCAATGTGGAAATGTTGTTTTTAAAGGCATCGAGGATTAAAATTCTTAGGAAGATTTTAATTCTCTCTAAATAAACCGAGAGAAACAGTCAGTGAGTTCACACTGGCCCTAAGAGCCCTAAAAATACGGTTTTACGTTGACGTATGACATTTCTCTTGAGAGAAATGAATTCTCTCGAGTTTGAAAATAGCCCCCCAGAATATAAGAGGCTTCCCCCGAAATCCGAAATGTCACTCACTCAATCACAAACGTTTCCTCGCAACAAAATTATAAAACGAGACTTCCCCGGTTTTTGCTTCGGTCGTGTATAAATAGAAGGCGTTATATGTTTGCCGATACGATATATCGGTACAACGGCACGTAAATATCGATATCGGCCGATATATCGTATTGGCAAAAAAAGTGATATCGTAATTACATCTGTTATTTCTGGTCAAGATCTAATAATAAGGTCCATAAGAAAATCATCAAACTCTTAATTTTTAAAGCATTTTCCCACGTGGTCCGATTTCTGATTCTGTTTTTGTTAGAAAGGGGATACCTCAGAGCTAGTTTCATATATATGTTAGCGGTATTTCTCTATACTCCCCACCATACATTCTTGAAGTCCATACACATGCGTCATGCGTGTCAGGATGCACGATTTTGTCCTGTACATATTTCATTTGAACTTTTTTTCGATAGCACTTACCACAACGGCGCTATTTCCCGAAAAGCGTCGCGACGCAGAGTTTTCATCCCTCTATCCCTTCAGCCGACCTTTTGCGAATAGAAACCACCCACCGCTTGGACTATTTCTTTTAATACAAAATATGTATAAATGGCATAAGTCAACAATATAGAATATGTACTTACTGTTAATACTTTCTGCGTTATTGTGACACAGGAAGTGCAAAAATTCCGTGAAACTGGTATAAACGAAATTTTCCATGTATTTTTCATTGGGCGCCAGACACGGCCTCATGTCCGTGCTTAATTCTTTTATTCTTTTCTCCAAATTGCCCCTTTCGCTGTTACAGAAATTTTTCGTTTGTTCCGGAATGAACGTGAATGCATATTTGAGATATCTTAAACAAAAAAAAAAAAAGTGTTTTTTAATTAACACAGAAGATATTTACTACCTTTCCTAATTTCAACTGTAGAATTGATATACCAGGGAGGGAATAGAAGGCCTGTAAACAAGCAAGTCTTCTTGAATTTAATAATAAGTAAGTAAAAACGCTTACCAGAGATGTAATAGAAACAGAAATATTTTATTCTCAGTAATACATACAGGGTGTCCCAATAGTGTTTGGAAGTTCGATATATCCTATATTATAGAAAATATCAAACAATGTTATTTACAAAAGTTGTAAATAATATTAATCTACACATTTCAAAATTATTCTCGATTATACAGAGTGATCCATAACTTCAGAATCGATCAAACCTGTTTTTTAAATGGACCACCCTGTATTTAATTATAAATTTGAATTCCCCTGACTTTGGCCTACAAGAAAATACCAACATGTATAAGGTTATACTGGGTATTTTGGAAGTTTAAACCAATTTTATATGAAAATCGTACTAGGTTCAACCCTCTGTATATTTCAAAAGAAACAATCGAACATCAAAATTTTTTGTCTACTTTTATAAGAATATACTCATTTTTTCCTAGCGCAACAGACGTGTACAGAATGAGTCAAAACTCAGATACATGATTTTCTCAATTTTTTTAAATGTAACACCCTGTATTTCATATCACTACTAAAAAGTACTCTAATTATACGTTCGTTTGAGTTAAATATTGCCTATCCCTAAACACAACAGTTTAGCGAGATTCTTAGATGAAATGTTAAAAAGGGTTAATTATAACTAAATTCACAATGTAATTTGAGTTAAACTCCTGTTAAAATATACCGTTTAATCAGTTTATATTTTTAAGGTACCTAGCTACAATTTATTATCAACTGAATTTACTTTCTTTACTTTTAAGGCTAGGTTCACCCTGTATTTCATATCTCTACTACAGTTCATCAAATTTCTAGAGGCTTTCGACGGCTAGACAGAGAAAGCACTACTGACAGGCATCCCGACGGATTTACGCAATGAAAGTACACTCTGCGCATCAAGTATTTCACTATTTCATTCAGACGTAAATGTCAGATGTAAATTTCGCTAAAACATTTCTTTTATTTTCGTTTGTGTTTTTTTGCTCATTACAGTTTAATAGAACCTAAGTATGGAGTTTAATAGCAAATTAAGAGGCCGTGTGATTAACAGTCAATCTCGCGAAATAATAGTCAATGTTATAGAGTTTATGAGAAGAGAAGGAAACTTTAATTCACCTTCAATACCATTTAAAAATGTAAATGATCGTGTTGCTGCAGCCACAGGAGTATCTAAAAACAATGTCGTCCGCATTTCTGGAGAGAAAAAAAGAATCGATAACCGTGAGATATCGGAATTTTCATCACCAAGAAAAAACATTAAAAAACCAAAAACAGTTAATGATATAGATAAAGCTGGACAAGAATCAAATTTTATTTTTTTATTATTAGATAGCTATTTTTGTTTCTGAGTTGTGTTCATTTACAGGCTCAATTTTTTTCCGTTTCTCCTTTTTGATTTTATATGGGGTTTCAAGTTGTTTTTGACTTATTTCGACGTAAATCACAACAACACACTTTTTTAATAAAGCAAACAAGTGTTAAGAGGTATATGTACGTGTAAACTACAATTACAAAAAATTGATATGAAACCCATGAAACCACCAACAAAAATGTAAAGCTAGCTTCCGTCGAGATAATTTATCGTTTTGTTTAATAGATCAAGAAATGTAAATATTCCCGTTATTTTTTATAAAATTATAAGAGAAATAAATTTTTTTCTAAATAGTATAGTTTATTATTTTGTAGAAAAACAAAATTTCGAAAATTTTAGTAATGTTTCAGAAACAACCGTTATTAATAATAGGTACCATTTTCCTTAATAAGGTAGAAATAAAATATAAATTATTTCCACGATTTACAAAGGCCTACAAAAAAATTATAGGTATTTTCCGCTATCCTATAAAATTTATATTTTCTGACTCAATTTCAAAAGGTTGAAGGAATTCCGAAACACCTTTTATGGCATAATAATTATTTTCAATTCTACATACTATCTTTAGCTGCTTTTAAAAACGTTCTAAGAAAGTCCAATCAGACCAATTTAATCCCTAAACTATTCCACACTTTTAAAATTTAATTACCTAAAAATATTAAAAACTATTTAAAATAACTTGTTTAGCAGACTGTACAATAGCTATCTTAGTCACACGTAGCGCGTTCTCTGTCTGGGCGTCGAACACCTCTAGAAATTTGATGAACTGTAAAAGTACTTTAATTATACGTTCGTTTGTTCCTATCCCTAAACAGTTTAGAAGATATTTTATATTTGAATGAAAAAAATATGAGCTAAATAGTACATTATATACCTAGGGTGAGAAGTGAGCTATTATTTACCGAGCACTTTTATATCCTGAGGCGCGTAGCGCCGAGGGATATAATGTGCGAGGTAAATAATAGCTTTCTCAGCCGAGGTATATATAGAATTTTTTTTACTACTAACATTAATGTATTAGCAATTTTAATTTTGACATAAGTAATTTCCTAACAATTTGTTAAATATTTCGAAATATCAAGCAGACTGGAGCGTGTTTCTAATCAGACTGGCTTTATTTATGTAAAAATTTGGCATGTGTCAAATTTTGGTATGATTCTAGGAAATATCCCATTGCATTTTTGATATTTTAATGACATGGATTTATTGTTATTAATTAATAATTTTTAAAGCCGGTGTTGAATTTCCTAGTTAATATATATTTTTACTATTAACACTGATATATATTATCATATTTGATTTGATTAGATTTTAATAAACCCAGCTTTAGTTATTTCCTACTTATTTTTCAAATATTTCAAAATATCAAGTAGTCTGGGAGTTTAGTTGTCAAATTAACAAAATGAAACTAATGAAATTTAGTTTCATTATTTACCTAGGTTTTTTTTTATTATCATTATTTACCTAGGGAGAGAAATATTACTTCTCATTAGAGGAATGGAGTAAATAATGGTGATTTCTCATGTTAGTAGTAAAAAAAATAAGTTATTAAATTTTTTAGAATGCAACATTAGTATATTAAAAAATGAAAAAAAAAAAAGCTATTATAAAACCTGCTCAAAGTGACTCCCTCCAACTGCAATACAATGTTGTAATCTAGCTTCAAATAATCTTTGAACGTTTTTCAAACATTGTACATCTATCTCGCGAACACTTGTCTTATTCTTTCCTTCATTTCCTCGCTAGTTAATGGACTAGTTTTATAAACCTCGTTTTTTACGAAACCCCACAAAAAAAATCTACTTTAGTGAGGTCAGGGGACCTGGGAGGCCACATAACTGGACCATCTCTTCCAATCCACCTGTTTTCAAAATTATGGTTCAGAAAGTTGCGAACCGGTTGAACATGATGTACAGGAGCTCCATCATGTAATATCCACATTCGGCGTCTTATATTTAGTGAAACATTTTCCAATAGTAGTGGTAGATGATTCTGCAGAAAGTCTAAGTAGACCTCGGCAGTTACACGACCATGGAAGAAATGTGGTCTTATGACATAGTCCCATAATATACCACCCCAAACGTTTGGATGTGTGTCATTATCCCCTAAGGATTGGTGGTGGAATAGTAATGAAAATTGTGTCTATTGACGAAACTGTTTATGTGAAATGTTGATTCATCCCCAAAAAGTACACAATTAAAAAAAAATATTTTCATTATTAATGCTCTCTATTGCCCATTCACAAAAAGCTATTCTTTTTTAAAAATCGTTTTCAAGAAGCTCCTGATGACGTTGGATATGGTATGGATGTACTTTATTTTTTAATAGAATCTTATTGACAGATGATTTACTTATTCCCATTTCATTTTCCATGATGAGTGTACTGGTGTTTGGATTTTCGGTAACACTATGGCATCTGTAGTTGTTTTCCCATGTCTAAAACCATATTGTTCCACAGAAAACAGGTTGTTGTTTTCAAAGAAATGCACAATTTGTTTTACTATAACACTTTTAAGTATTTTAGAAAAACGTGGTAAAATACGTATTTGGCGATTTTACATCAGTGATTTTATTATTTGGAAAATTCAAATTCAATAAAAAAATGTGAAATAATTATTGTTAGATTAAACTTCTTGCAAACGGTTTTAAGAACATTATAGTTTCTTATGCATTTTTTTTATAACAACATTTTAACAAACCTTTTAAACTCGACAGCATCGCCGTATAATTTATCGAAAGCAGCATCTGTTTTTGTTTGCGTGTGACATTTTGTGTACCAGTGATTCGACAACTCGTTGTAGGGTTCTTGCGTTTGAGCTGCAACCACAACTGAAACAAAAAGGACATAATTAAAAATACTTGGAATATCGTTGGAAAAAAATTGCGCAAAACTAGATTTCTCCACGACCTATTACTGACAACCACTTATAGTAACAGGAAAAAAAAACATTTTCGCTCTTAAGATTGAAAGAAAATTCTGAAACATTTGCCTCTTAAGTATTTTACACGTATTTCATTCTCTATATGTTTATTCTATAATAGCTACTGTCCAGTGGCTGTGAATATCACGCCCGCATTGTAGATAGCCATGAATTTCATGATTGACAGTTCTACGAAACGTATTATTACTAAGGCCCTTCCTATGGGGCATCAGTATTGCATTCGTGCAGACGAAAAAAATTTCTTACCCCCATTTTTTTATACTTTTTTTCACGTTTCCGATCATGCAAACATTTTCGTCTGGTTGTTTGTGTATATGTATGCCGGCACGATAACTCTAGAATAGAACAAAAGTTCTGATTGACTTGCGGTTTTGATTTTCTTGAATAATTGCTTCAACTTTAATATCAATAATCTTAAATCTGCCCATGCATTTCTTATGCGACTTCCAATCATTCCAAACATTTATTAGAATTTAGAAATTTGTCATGCTCTGTCAATACAAATTAGCGCGGTGTTGCCAAGTGTCCAATTAAAATCAACAACAAAGAAATATAAAAAATACCTATTTTTTGACATAACATTTCGATACTCTTTAAAAAGCAGTTCTTTTAATTTATTTCCGGTCACACCCGATGATTTATTTATCCATTTTGATAGAATTGTTGTTAAAATAATTTTTAAAAGTTTTCGAAAAATGGGAAATGTTATGTCAAAAATAGGGTATTTTTTTTAAATTTCTTTTTCGTTGATTTTAATTAGACCCTTGGCAACACCGCGCATATTTAAATTGACAGAACATAACGAATAAATACATAAGTAATAACTGAATGATCCTCATATGCCTTTAATATGTAATTTTTTAATAAAAATAAAAAAACTGGTAATAAAGATAAAGTATTAGTTTGGAAAAATGCCCATAATAATTTTTTAGTCTTTTTGTTTTATTTTTCTTTAATTATCGTGATTAAGAGTAGTATTTATGAAAAAAAAAAAAAATAATAATAATAATAATTTACTTATTTTATTCATCTCAATTATTTTAAGTACGGATCTCATCAATGGTAACTACAATTTTTAAATACGATCCTGATTTCTACTCGAGAAGGCGTGTTTACCGGTTTCAAGTGGTGTCTTACAAATATCAAAGGGACTGACGTAGAGTTGATTCTCTGTATGTGTACTCTGTGATATACAGGGTGTTTCAAAAAGATTGGTTATAAATTATACCACGTATTCTTGGGTCAAACATAGGTCGATTAAACCGTACTTACCTATACAAAAGTTACGGGGTGTATAAGATAAAAATTTAAATGAATTGTTTTAACGTTGTTCTTAAACCGTTTGACATTTTTTCATAAAATTTTATATGACGTGTTGGAATACCATGACTAACAAAATCGAGGTAGAGGCAATATATTTTTTTTATTTTTGTAGGATTTTGGAGGGTGTCACCGCCCCTTTCTCTACTCAACTTTTTTATAATATAAAATAATATTAAAAATCGAACGCTACTGAAATGCAACATCTATTTGGAAACTTTTTTATCTCTCAGTATTTGTTTGTAAAATGTTTGGTTTAGACGATACAGCCACTTAAAATGACATCTTAAAAATATTCAATGTAAATTATACGTATGCAAAAATATCAAAATTCGATTTTCATTGTTAAAACTATGTAGTAAGTGTATACAGGAGGAGAATGCAATTTTGAACACATGTTAAATTAATTTTTTTTATTTTGATGACATTAGTTTGTAATTTAAAAATAAACTTGATTTTGATATTTTTCATACGTAGAATTTCCATTGAATATTTTTAAGTTATCATTTCAAATGCTGTATCGTCTAAACTTTTTACAAACAAATACTAAGAGACAAAAAAGTTTCCAAATGGATGTTGCATTCCAGTGGCGTTTCATTTGTAATTAAATTTAATACTACAAAAAAGTTGAGTGGAGAAAAGAGCGATGACCCCCTCCAAAAACCTATAAAAATACAGAAAAAAATATTGCCTCTTCCTCGATATTCTGTATCTGTAACGTGTGGAGGGCGGGTTATCCCCACGGCACTTAGGCCTCATTAGGCCCATTGTGCATCCTCCTAAGATGATAGGCACCTCCTAGCTCGTCAGCCAGCCTACAGATTTAATGTAGTTGACAACGTCGCCAAGAGGTGCTTCTCTTATATCGGCCGGTGTTAGTCGATACTCGCCGAACACAAATCTTCTAATAAATGAGAGCGTCAGGCAATCGTAAAGGATATGCTCGATGGTCTCATCTTCTTGTTCGCACCCTCTGCAGAGTGCGGATTCTGACAGCCCCATGATATGGAGATGCTTCCGTACTTGGCAATGACCAGTCAGAATGCCTGTGATCAGACGCAGATTCTGTCTAGTCATAGTCAAGTATTTGTTTGCTGCAGTGTTGTCAGGATAACATAAGAGCTCCCTGGCAACTCTGCAGTTTCTTGTTTCATCCCATCTTTCCTTGAATTTCACAAGGGAATGTTCTTTAATTAGGCCTGTCACTACCGATTTTGTCAGGCCAATAGAAGGGCCAGGTCCAAAAAGTATTTGGTTGGCTGCTTTCTTGGCTAGTGAATCGGCAAAACGGTTAACTTTCGATGTGGCGTGACCTTTGATCCATCTTAAGGTGACCACATTGTTGATGGATACTTCGGCCAAAGCTTCATGACATTCTAGTACTAACCCTGAATAAATTCGTGGTCTGTTCAGGGTGAATAGTGCTTGTCTGCTATCTGTATAGATGAGCATGTTCCTTCCAGTGATATTATTTCTGGTTATTTCTTTTGGTGCTATGAGAATCCCCGTTATCTCTTTTTGAACTACACTGGCACTATTGCTCACAGCCCATTTTATGTTTAGGTTTAAGAATCTGGAGTATATTCCGCATCCTGAGCCTTGTTTTGTTTTAGAACCGTCGGTGTAGATATGAATCGTACCTGCCACTTCTGGTTCTTTTATTTGTTCTGTTATAACTTTATATGGCTTATGGAAGATATATCTCGGTGAGATGGAGTCCATGTTCGCTTGAAGCAGTGGGAGCGTATCGAGCGCCTCCTGCCAAAAGTGACGTCTCGCCTCACCAGATCCAATGACATATATAGATTAATAGACTGCTCATCCATATATAAACAAGACGACGAAAAGCGGGTCATATTGCTTGGCTTGCCGAGTGCTCACCAGGCAGAATCGGTCTGGCCCAAATGAGTTTAAAACTCATATTTCATCAAAGTAGGAATTGAATTAAAAAAAAATTTATCTGTATGTTTATTTCAAGACAGGAGCTTGCGTTAGATATTTTAAAAAAGGATTTTGAGTCATAACGTCTAGTTTCCCAATTTTCAAAACATTTTAAGAGATCTAACCAATTTTGAAGATAGATATAAACAATTTTACACTAATGTGTATATAACTAACTTTAGACCACGACCACTGTATAGTGGCACTATTCCGACACTTGATTATTCTTTTAAAATTTATTTCGCATTATAAAAGCAGATATTATGCAAAAATTGAATGAACTTTTTAAAGATTTTACTAAAAGTTAGTAGCTTTTTCACATTCTAAAGTTTGTTCCCTTTAGACAATTAAGGATTATTTTGGCGGTGAATGTGAATGATTTGATGAATAATAATAAGATTCCACCAGTGAAAATCTGATCAACATCATAGTAAAATGAACTAGGTACAAAGTGCAATCTTAGTTGACGTCAAGATCCGTTTAGCATCGGTAAGGGGAAAAGAAAGATTCTGACTTACAATCACAAAAAGAACGTACAACTAAGTAAGCTTAGTCGATGTAAGTTAGCTCAGATTAGTGGTAAAAAGAAAGCGACTATTAATAAAAAGAAAAGTAATCCATCTAAAACAAGAATTATGGCTACTGTCTTTAATAATGATATGTTGCCAGTACTAGTAGAATGTTAAGTATTGAGTTATCTTCTTCAGGAAATGGATGTACGTATGCATAATTTAAAATGTTTGGTTAATTATTATTATGTTTAATGTGTTTTTGCAGTTAATGAACATATATCTACTACTGAAGCAGAAAATGAAGATTTGTGTGCTGCTGAAGAGCTTTGCTTAATTTACAAAACTTCGTTTAAAAGCAGAAAATTGGGATCGATTGTTCAACACAAGTGAAAAGTGGTGATTTAGTTAATCCGTTTTCAAACAGAATTGTCAGTGCTAAAGAACTATCTACTTTAATAGGATTGAAATCCTTCCAGTTATTAGCCACCATTGTGGAATTCGTTGTTTCTAAAGAATAGGAAAAAGGAGATCAGTTATGTCTGTAAAGGATCAAGTTATATTTACTTTTATGAAGTTGAAAACTGATATGCAAGATATAATGTATTATCCATTTTATTTGGAGTAAATTAAACTTTTTATCATTAAATTTTTTAACATTTTTTAATAAAACTGGTAGAAGTTCTTAGTATGGTATAATTCGGCCTTCAAAACAAGAAATATTAAATAATGTGCCTCTATGTAAGTAAGAGTACTACTTGATTGTACCGAAATCCCAATACAGCAAGCCAAATGTCTTTGTTGTAGGCTAAAAAATTACTCTGACTACAAAAAGAGGCATACTATTAAAATATTGAGTGGAGTGTCACCTACTGGTCTCATTACTTACAAAAGTGAAGCATATGGTGGTAGAACTTCAGAAATAGACATTTTTTAACAAAGTTCAATACTTGAAGTGTGTGAATCATTTCTCGATAGTAAAATGTTTAACAAAGGTTTTCTTATTGGAAACATAACAGAAGCTGAACGTATACAAATTATACAGCCTCCTTTCCTCAATAAAAAAAAATCAGTTCAGCCATCAAGAGGCTTTACTTAATGCCAAAATTGCCAGAGC